GAGGAAGTCCTACGTTCCACGCCGGCCCTGGAGGCTGATCGGCTGGGGTCCTCATCCGAGACCCCCGAGCAGGGCCCGGCGACCGAGATAGACGACACGGACGCAGCGGGGCCGCCGCCGGAGCCCGCCTCTCAGCCCCGCTTCGATACCGACTTCTGTCGGGACCAGCGAGAGGATCCCACCCTCAGCCGCTTCTACGAGCAGCTCGCGGCAGTAGACGGGAGTGTTGTGGACCCCCAGCGGGCCACCCTATGGCCCCACTTTGAGCTGCGCCGGGACCGGCTCTACCGCGTGGACCGTGATCCCCGCACCCGGGAACCACAAACCCAACTGTTGGTGCCCCTGTGTCACCGGCGGGCGGTAATGAAGCTGGCCCACGATGTGCCAGCCGCCGGGCACCTGGGGCGAGAGAAGACCCTCGCTCGAATCCTGGCGCGCTTCTTTTGGCCAGGAATCTCTCAGGAGGTGAAAGAGTATTGCGCCTCCTGCCCAGACTGTCAGCTGGTCGCCCCGCTCGGGATCTCCAAGGCACCCCTGGTCCCCATGCCAGTGATGGAGACGCCCTTTGAAAGGGTCGCCATGGACCTCGTGGGCCCCCTCCCGAAAAGCGCTGCGGGGTTTCAATACATTCTGGTTCTGGTGGACTATGCCTCTCGATTCCCGGAAGCCATCCCCTTGCGGAGTATTACCGCCCGGACCATCGCGGGGGAATTGCTGAAAATCTTCGCCCGAGTAGGACTGCCTAGAGAGATCCTAACCGACCAGGGAACGAACTTCACGTCCCAATTGTTGCGACAGGTCTGTGCCCTCTTAGGCATCAAACAACTCCGGACGTCCGTTTACCACCCGCAGACAGACGGGTTGGTGGAGCGGTTTAACCGCACTTTGAAAGGCATGTTGCGGAAATTCCCAGCAGAGGATCTCCGCCACTGGGACCAATTCCTTCCACCCTTGCTGTTAGCCATCCGAGAAGTCCCGCAGACCTCAACAAAATTTTCCCCATTCGAGCTGCTGTATGGACGCAGACCACGGGGCCTCTTAGACCTGATGAGAGAGACTTGGGAACAGTCGGTCTCCCCAGCCCAGGGCCTCCTGAAATATGTCATCCAGTTACAGGAATACCTTGCCCAGGCCGGAGCCCTGGCCCGCGAAAATTTGAAGATGGCGCAGGAGCGGCAGAAACGAACCTATGATCAGGGAGCCCAAGTCCGGGAGTTCCAACCAGGAGACCGTGTCCTACTCCTCCTCCCGTCCAGTGAGTCTAAATTGTTAGCCCGGTGGCAGGGGCCTTACGACGTCGTGCGTAAAGTAGGTCCCGTCACCTACGAGGTGCGGCAACCAGACAAGCGGAAGGGGACCCAACGGTATCATGTAAACCTGCTGAAACGGTGGCAGGACTGGGAGGGCCTCTTAATTAACCCGTATCCGCCCGAGCCGGATTGGGACCCCGCGTACCCTCGACGGATGACCCCCCGGCACCCCTGTTAGGACAATCGCTCACGGAGGAGCAATGTAAACAAACCAACTGCCTTCTGCAGGCCTTCAAGAGAACCTTCACGGCCGTACCGGGCTACACGTCCCTAGTCAAACACTCCATCCAGACCGAGCCGGGGAAAGTGGTTCGAGAGACGACCCGGCCCCTGCCCTATCGGATGCGGGATGCGGTCGAGGAGGAAGTAAGAGCCATGCTGGCTCTGGGCGTCATTGAGCCGTCCCAGAGCGAGTGGCGTAGTCCGGTGGTCCTGGTGCCCAAGCCAGACGGCACCCGCCGCTTCTGCATCGACTTTCGGAGGGTAAACGCCATCTCGCACTTCGATGCCTACCCGATGCCCCATGTGGACGAGTTACTGGGCCGCCTGGGGGAGGCCCAGTATATCACCACCCTGGACCTCAGCAAAGGCTATTGGCAGATCCCCCTCGAAGAGACCTCGAAGAAATCAGGCAGATCCCCCTCGAAGAAAACCGCCTTTGCCACCCCAACGGGGCTGTACCAATTCACGCGAATGCCATTCGGTCTCCATGGGGCCCCAGCCACCTTCCAGCGACTGATGGACCATCTTCTGCAGCCCCATCAGGACTATGCGGCTGCGTACCTAGACGACGTGGTCATCTATAGCCGCAGCTGGGAGGACCATCTTACCGCCAACCCCAAAAAGTGCCGTATTGCCTGGCAAGAGACCACCTATCTCGGCTATACCGTCGGGGGCGGGCGGGTCAAACCCCTCGTCGGAAAAGTCCAGGCCCTCCTGGACTGCCCCACCCCGTCGACCAAACGGCACGTTCGGCAGTTCCTGGGCCTCGTTGGGTATTACCGACGGTTCATCCCCCAGTTCGCGTCCATCGCCGCACCCTTAACTGGGCTTCTGACGAAGGACAGTCCCCAGCAGGTACAGTGGTCCCCAGAGTGTGAGGCTGCCTTCCGGACACTGCAGAAGTGCCTCTGCCAGGAGCCGGTTCTCTATAGCCCGGACTTTAAACGCCCATTCATCCTGCAGACCGACGCCTCCGGGGTGGGGTTAGGAGCAGTCTTGTCCCAAGAAGTGGAGGGAAAGGACCACCCCATATTATACCTCAGCCGGAAACTGTTCCCCCGCGAGAGGAATTACGCAGTGGTGGAAAAAGAGGCCCTCGCTGTGAAGTGGGCCTGCGATGCCCTTCGTTTCTACCTCCTCGGGGCCCCGTTCACCCTCGTCACAGACCACGCCCCCCTCCGGTGGCTAATGCGGATGAAAGATAATAACGCCCGCATTATGCGGTGGTACCTCGCCTTACAACCCTACGCATTTACGGTTCAGCATCGGGCTGGCAAGGACCATACGAATGCGGACTTCCTATCCCGCCTTGGGGAGATGGAAGGACCTGGCCCCGACACGCGGGAGCCAGCCTTAAGGGGGGGGGGGTGTAGTGAGTCGGTGTGGCTCCCCTCCTGCCCAGAAGAGGGAGCCCACATGCAGGCACCAGAGTGGGTGGGACCACCACCGCCTGTCCCCGCCCCCCGGAAGTCAAGGGGCGGGACAGGAAGTATAAAGGCCGGCCGCCAGAGCTCAGTCGGCGGCCAGCCACCACAGGGAGCAGACGTGCGGCCGGGAGCTCCCGGCCAGGAGACCGCCGAAGACCGAGGCCTGGACCCCAGCTGGCGTGAGCTACCCCGGGCACGTTACGAGGAGGAGCCGTCGGAGCCCATCCGCTCTCGTCACTGGGAGAATCCCTGGGAACCCCACCCCACCAACCCTGAGGGTGAGACTGCACCCGAACCCCTCCGCCCCTGCTGCTACCCAGAGGAGCCGCCCGAGGACCGTTGGCCCGACTTCCCGGCAGAGCTACCGGACCTGCCACCGAGCCCTGGCCGAGAGGAGCCCATGCAGATGGACTGGCCCGAGCCCGGCGCGACGAACGAGGTAGGCTTTGAGGGGGATCGTGGAAGTAGCCCGGGGGTAGCCGACCCCGGTCCGGCTGCAACCGAGTGTGAGCCAATGTCAGTGTGTTGCGGTCTGGATACCCCACTGACCAGCAGCGGCAGTAACCGCTGCTAGGGCCCCGGGCTGGAACGCAGTGGAGTGGGTGGGCCTGCGTTCCCCCCTGCCACCCCCGCTCACGGGTGGCAGGCTTCCCCCTCACCCAATGCTCAGCTACAGAAAGCCTAGGCATGCCTTACCTGAGCTTAACTGTGTTTGCCCCGCCCTGATCCCGGGGCCTGGGCTTCTGAACTGGTTGCTCGCTCAGCCCCCTGCAAACAAGGGCCTGAGCTTGACTGTGTTTGCTCCGCCCCTGCAGTCAAGGGCCTGGGCTTCTGAACTGCTTGCTCGCTCAGCCCCCTGCAAACAAGGGCCTGAGCTTGACTGTGTTTGCTCCGCCCCTGCAGTCAAGGGCCTGGGCTTCTGAACTGCTTGCTCGCTCAGCCCCCTGCAAACAAGGGCCTGAGCTTTACTGTGTTTGCTCCGCCCCTGCAGTCAAGGGCCTGAGCTTTAACTGTGGTTGCTCCGGCCCTGCACCAAAGAGCCGGAGCTTCGGGACTAACTGACTGCTTGTTCCCACAGTAGTGAGTCGGTGTGGCTCCCCTCCTGCCCGGAAGGGTCGAGCCCCGGCTAGGACCTATTACAGTGACTTAATTTACAAAGTTATTAACCATTTCATATCAGTGCCCCTTTCCACTATTGAATTTTACATAATGAGAACCCAAAAATGGAAGCTATTATAGCAAGTAGTTAATTTAATCCATTTTTGTATGTCGAATACTCTGAACACCTTATGCTGAAGACTTTGTACTCTTGATAAGGTGAGGACATGATGAATTACATCAAAGCATAAAAACAGGACCTTTTGGTGCTTGTCGCTATTATATAGCAGCCATAAAATCATTATTTTATGTGGCCGACTTCTAGGTGCACTTCGATGGTTTCAGTGCCTCCCACATGGATATATCACGGACAGCGGTAAAGTGACTGCTGTTATATTTCAAAATTTAGGGGGGGAAAAGCCCACATCATTAAATTAGTAATATTTATACTATAAAGATAGTAATATTCATTTGCTGTTGATAAGTAGCCAGTTTTTCCATTCCTCTTTGTAGTACAGTAGATTGAGCAGAAATTTTTCCTGACAAATTTAAATCCTCTTAAAGATGAGCATTGCTTTTCTAAGTGGCCACTGATGACTAACTCATTTCCACTAAAAGTGGTTTTGGAAAGCTAGCGCCTTCTTCTATCATTCTTCTGGGATTGGGGAATATTTGCCTGAACTGCAGGAAACTAATGGTTGGAAATTCCCTAATGCATTCTTAACCTCTTTAATTGTTATTGTGCAGCTGGAAAATAGGCAGAGAGGCAGTTCCATGCATTCAGTATCATCTCTGTTGCAATTACTCCTTATATTAAAGTCGGTAACAGGCCACAGCGGGGCTGTCTAGACTAGAGTTTAACCCATGTTAACTGATTCCAAATTAACCTGAGTTAGTTAGTTAGTAATTGTAAATGCTAGTCCAAACACTCCACAAATATTTGTTGGTGTGTTACTTCAGGTTGAATGAAATGTTTGTTGGTTGCCATGACATCAACATGTATGCAGGGGTATAACAAACATTTGTTCCAGGATACTAAGACTGTTGGCTTACCCTAGGCTGAGTCCTAGGCCATGTCTACAATAGGAGTGCTTTGCTAGTATAGCTATACCACTGTACTATACTAGCAAAGCATGCCTAGTGCAGATGCAGCTAATACTGGCAAAACTGCTTTTGCCAGTATAGCTTATTTCAGCCCCCTCCACGCTACTCTTTCACCCTTACCACCTTCTCTCCCCTCTTCCCACCCCCAGGAGAAACACACGATACCAGCAAAAGCACAGCTTTGCCAGTATAACTGCATCTCCAGTAGGGGCTTTTCCTGTACAGCTGTGCTGATCAGTGATTACACCTATTCACAATGTTGACATAGCATTGTGGCCTGGACCACATGTTTGTGGAGCATCTAGAGTAGACTTTACACATGTGGTACTACTACTTATCAAGTTAATTGGCAATCAATTAACTCAAACTAAAGCAGGCCCACAAACTCTAGTCTAGACCTACCCATCAGGGAGTCCTGGATTGGAGTTATGTTGGACACAGGAAAAATGGCACTTCTTGTCAGGAAGTGTTAGGTACTGTGATGTTCCCAGTTCTTAATAGGCAGGGCCAGCTCTAGGTTTTTTGATGCTCCAAGCAATGCCAAAGCAAAAACAAAACAAAAAACAAACAAACAAAAACCTCTCCGAGTGCTGCCCCTGGAATTGTGCCACCCCTAGTACGCGCTTGGTTTGCTGGTGCCTAGAGCCTGTTAATAGGTGTGTAAAGCAGCACCTTAACTGTGCATTTCCTGGTTTTCCTAAGTTTGTGATTTGTTTTTTCTTGTAATGCTAACATTCATTTCAGGAATATGTGAGGAGACCTTAACGGAGTCCTTGTCAGTGAAGATTTTGGTAAGTAAATGTCCTCTTTTTTCTATAAACATTTGAATGAGTAAGGTTGTTGAGGCTTCTGATAGCTCTCACAAAAAGATGGGTATATTCTCTTGTAGCTAGGGTATCCTGGCTCAGTGAAAGAAATGTGGACTAGTGTGATTAGAACAATAGCTACAGATAGCATAGCCAAAATCATAGTGTGACAATATATCCCATAATGCTTTATGGGAATATGATGTAACTGGAATATGTTTTATGCTACCTGTGCCATGTAACATATCTCTGTAAAGGTTATGGTCTAATGAATCTGTTCATCCTGTTTGTACACATATCATTTTTGTACTTGAAGTTATGAACATTGGCTGTATACTTGCTTGATTTCTAAGTAAGCTTTGTAAGGCATTTGGTCAGCTTCTTTAGAAAGGAATTTGCAAAGTTAAGTGCCCACTCAAGAAGCACTTAAGGAACAATGGATCTTGGAATGCTCCAATCCACATAAGAAGTCTACGTGAGGACGTTCAAGGTAGCATTTAATTTAATGGCTGCTACCTGTAGTTCTGAATCATGCATGGACATGTGGCTTGCCCATGTGACTCCAAAACTCCATCTTGGAGCTGGACTTTGCATGGGAGAGAGTCTCCACGCATAAGAAAAAGTCTATTTAAACCCATGGGAGACCCCTCCATTTTGTCTTCAGCTGGCTAAAGAGATATCCTTAGGGGTGGTGCGGCTATCTGAAAGAAACTGGAACAAAGGACAATAACCACAGGGCATGTGAGTGATTGCTGGACCCAGACTAGAAGGAGACTAGTCTGTAAAAGGAAGCTTACTGGTGAGGTTTTTATCTGTACTCAGTTGTATTACTGTATTAGACTTAGATTTGTGGGTTTTATTTCATTTTACTTGGTAATTTACTTTGTTCTGTCTGTTATTACTTGGAATCACTTAAATCCTACTTTCCATATTTAATAAAATCACTTTTTACTTATTAATTAACCCAGAGTATGTATTAATACCTGGGTGAGGGGGCAAACAGCTGTGCATCTCTCTCTATCGGCATTATAGAGGGCGAACAATTTATGAGTTTACCCTGTATAAGCATTATACAGGGTAAAATGGATTTATGTGGGTTTAGACCCCACTGGGAGTTGGACATTTGAGCGTTACAGATAAGAACACTTCTGTAAGCTGCTTTCAGTCAATCCTACAGCTGTTAGGGGACGTGATTCAGACCTAGGTCTGGGTTTGCAGCAGGCTAGCGAGTCTGGCTCAAACCAGGCAGGGCACTGAAATCCTAAGCTGACAGGGCAGGAAAGCAGGGGCAGAAGTAGTCTTGGCACATCAGTTGGCAGCTCTCAAGGGGGTTTCTGTGATCTAACCCATCACACATCGATCTAGGCTATTTATTTTGAAAAGATATGTGGCTAATTGGAAGAGATTTGGCTCTGTCACATTAGACACCTAGGTTCTGATTCCAGCTGTGTTGAAAGTGACCTTGTGCAACCTCTCAGTTTTCTTATCTGAAAGTAGAAGGAATGATAGTTGCCTGCCCTAAAGGAGAGAGATTAGATTTTGGCCAATAATAAGGTTATAAAGTACACAAAAAACATTATCACAGAAGAGATTACTGTAAAAATACTGTCCTATTTCCTAGTCCAGTGCACTTACCCTGAGTTAAAGTGTAGTTGAATGGAAGATCTGTCTCTTTCTCGTCGTACAACATGCCAGCAGTTTGCAGCAGAACATAGTACTGCAAGATCTAATAAGTTTTACTGTTTCAAATGCGCAACCTTCTTTTTTGCATGCACGACACCTCTCTGGGGCATTCCAGCAACAGACGTTTCATGTGAAAAATTGGTCAAACTTAAAAAAAAAAAGTGAAAGTTTTACCAGCTATACCAGTATAATTAAACGGATAGTGTACCAGTATAACTCCTTGTGCGGACACTCTTTATTTTGGATGGCCTTTTTTTTTGTTTCAGTATAGACTAAACCACTTAAAGAACATAAGCTAAACTGGAAAAAGACACTCTTATACTGGAATAAGAGTGTCCACACAGGGAGTTATTCTGGTATAACTGTATTGGTTTAAAGTCACACCTAGTTTATATTAGTATAGCTTTCCTGTGTAGACAAGCCCTAAGGAACACCTGGATCAAATTACCTCAGATTTGCACTTTACCCTTTAACATATCAATTTTCAATTGAATCTGGCCACATATGTGCACTTCAGTGAGGATGTAAAATTCAGCTTTAAGCAGAAACCATGTTGCCACCCCTTAATTCATATACATATTATATAAAATATTAGGAAGACTAAGCTATGATAAGTAACAAGTCCTTGTAAATTTTGTACTGTTATTTTTGTCATCAATGCAAAAATATTTTTTTTAAAATTGGTAAAAAACATCTATATGTTTGTTTCTTTATAAAAGTCAATGAGAAATCCCCCAGGAACTGAGAGTGAAAACAGAACAGAAACTACCCCAGGTGTTCAGAGAATGACAAACAGATCTGTACTTACTAAAGAGACCACAGCAATGCCTAATAATTCACAACCAGTTTGTCACTTCTTGTTTGCCCAACAAGCTGATAACAGATTGCACTCCCCCATAAGAATTTCATGATAGTCCAGTCATGGCCCCACATTCTGCCATCAAATTTATGCAGAATCATAAACAGAAGATGGTAAATTCAGAAGTGAGTCTACATGGAGGCTAAAATGCTAAGGACCCATGTATTGCTGCCACTGGTGGAGCTTGCATCAGCATTAGCAACTGTGGGAATTTTTTGTAAAAAGAACTCTAATGTACACATAACATAGTGAAATCCACTAGGTCTGCCCATCTAGGGAAGGACATTCCTGCTTCAAGAGAGGATGTTTTGCAAGTATGACTGCTCCCACTTTTCACAGTTCTTCTTTAAGGGTTATATTTTCAAAGGCCTCAGCCCAGCCTCCATTTGTGCACATGAAATTCTACGGACACAGTTTAACACACTGATACTTGTGTGCACAAATGATAGCGCTCATACACACAAAAAACCCTTGTACTCCGTATAAACTCTGTTTACATGCACAAATGGAATTTGTAGGGAGGATTCAATTGAGTTACTCCAGATTTACACTGATATACCCCAATCAGAATCTGCCTATTCATATACACCTCTACCCCATATAACCCTGTCCTCGGGAGCCAAAAAAAAAAATCTTACCGTTTATAGGTGAAAACATATATTGAACTTGCTTTGATCCGCCAGAGTGCGCAGCCCCCCCCGGAGCACTGCTTTACCGCCTTATGTCCAAATTAGTGTTATATCGGGTCACGTTATATATTGGGGTAGAGGTGTATATAAATTCTAGTTAATACACAAGCTAATGATAGTGCCCAAGACAAATACCTGTATTACTGACTTTGGATAATTCAGCAATAGATATCACATTCTGAAAATTTGACTCCAAGAAAAAATTACCCCCATTTTGCTTAGTCATGCACCATCTGAGAGTTCAAAAATGTACATCCCCATTCCTGATGTTTTAGGTTTCAAAGGCAATACTGCAATATGTAGCAATGCCTTCTCCTGTGTGGATTCAGGACTGATCTACAGTATCGGGCCCTATACTGTTAACAGTTAGTGGAGATTCTCCTTCAGCTCTGTGCTTTGGTAGCAGGAGGTTCCTAACATTTTGAGTTGACATAGTAACAACTGTGTAGTTCCCAGGGAGCTGTGGATTTCTTACAATACTAACCTGTTGACATCTAACCTAAATTCTCTACTTGCACTTCATGACATTTAGTTCTTATAAAATGTCAAAAGTGCAAGTAGAGGGAGAGGCACTGGAGTAGTCCTGTCCACTTCCAGAGCTGCTCAGTCACCCTGCCCTCTAAACCGTACCAGTTCTCCGGCGGAGACGGATGCATGGCAGAAAGGTAAACGCCAATATAGAGCAGCGGACCCGCCCTCCACCGGATGGCCTGAAGCACAGGTGGAAGGGAGCTCACCTGCCACCAGTCCCCGACCACCAGGCCAGAGCTCTTGACCCAGACGGAGGAGGCTGCCGAGTAGACGGCCTGGCAAGCCTCTACCTGTGCCAATTCGCCCGGGTCCTGGACCATCAGGAGCACCTCGGCGGTGTACGCCGACAGAACCAGCCGCAGCTCCGGCTCTCACAGTACCAACCCCGTCAGCCTCCAACGGAGGAGACAGAGGAAGGGCTCAATTGCCAGAGCGTACAGCTGGCCCGAGAGGGGGCACCCCTGCTGTACTCCTCGCCCGAAACTGACTGGCTCAGTCAGGGTCCAGTTGAGCCTGACCAGACACTCCGCAGAGGCGTACAGCACCTGGAGAAAGCCCACAAACTGGGGTCCGAAGCCAAACGTTCGCAGAGTGCTCAGGAGATACCGGTGGCCCACCCTGTCGAACGCCTTCTCCTGATCCAGGGACAGGAGGGTGAATGGCAGACCATCCCTATACCCAAGCTCCAGGAGGTCCTGGACCAGATACAAGTTATCAAATATGGTGTGGCCTGGGACGGTGTAGGTCTAGGTGGACCACGTCCACCAGCACGGAACCTAGCCGCAGCGAGATGGCCTTCGCTACGACTTTGTAGTCCGTCCTGAGGCGTGAGACGGGATGCCAATTCCGTAAGTCACGGAGGTCCCCCTTTTTCGGCAATAAGGCAAGCAAGGACTCTGCAAGGACTCGGCCCAGACGGTGAGTAGGTTTGGGCCGAGGACATCCCAGAACACGCGATAGAACTCCACGATCAGCCCGTCCATGTCCAGAGATTTATTGGTGGGCATGCGGCGGAGGGCTTCCAAGAGCTCAGCCAGAGTGAGAGGCAGCTCTAGCCGGTCTCGGTTGCCCGCGTTGGGAGTCTGCCCCAGAGCATTTTGCAAGCGTTAGGATCAGTCGCATCTGGGGAGAAAAGGCCTGCGTAGAAGGCTCTGGCCCTCCCGCACATCTCCGCCGTCCTCCACCAGGAAGCAAGTGTCCTCTTTTTCTCCAGGGTGTAGAAG